ACCATTGTTTAAAACAGATTTTCAACTCCGCTTGAGATATCTCCAAAACATGCTTTATGAGAGCGCATCACCAGCTTCTTCTGCCGATGAAAATCATTGTCCACGCAATTTATTTGCGACGTACGGGAACAAAAAGGAGGGTGGGTGCCAAATCAGAACTATATGGGGGATGATCCATTAAATCAAAGTTTTGAGAGCGCAAATACTCAGTTGTTTCACGAGAGACCAGAAAGCTAGCATTGTCTTGATGAAGGATGATCTGACGGCACTTGTTGGTTTTCCTTATCTGACCGGCAAAGAAATGGTTGTGTACCATTCAGAATTAAGCGTGCTATGTTCTTCTAGAGACACTGTTGCCACATGGCCAGTTTTTCCGAGAAAAACATGTGGCCATTTGTCTCAAAGACAGATATAGCTGTACAGTTGACTGCTGTTTCTTTTCCGGCTCATACGCATCGATCCAAGATTCGTCACCTGTTACAATTTCATAGACTTTTTTTAAGCACAGTCGTTGTACCTTTAAGTCGTTAATGTTTTGTCGTAGCCAGACCGTTCGCCGGACTTAAATCACATCGAACATGTGTGAGATATGATACGGAGGAGGCTATCCACTTTGCATCATCCGCCACAGATTCTGCCACAGCTAATCCATGAAGTGCGAGCTACTTGAAATAAGTCGCCACAACCAGACATCGATCATGTCATTTTGTCGATGCCTAGACGTATACAGGAGTGTATTCAGCTGCGGGGTCACCCAGCACATTATTTTTCTTTCTTATTACTTGTCAATAATATTTCGTCAGAATGTTATCGTTTCATTCTTGATGTAAGACTACCTCATTGCAAAAAAATCAACTTGAAGAATTTTTTTTCTGGGTGTAACACTTCTAATGTCACTAAGTATATTTTATGTACGCTAATGGAACTGATGTCTTCTCACAATATGTCACATGAAGATCTTGTATTTTAATATTTTGCACAGCATCAATGCTTTCTGGCACAACAATTTCGGACGACGTTCACGAATTTCGTCACCAAGTCAACGGATTAAATTCATTGTACCGGCGTTTAATAGTGGCAGGATGGGGTGTTATCGCTAAAGATAACTTGATGCATTCCTGCCTTGATAATCCACGGCGCAATCTAATAAGTGATCGCATGAAAATTTTTACGAGTTGATTCAATTTTTTTTCTGGGACCCTGTTTCCAAATCACCATCAACATCACAAATCGTGCTCAAATGACAAAACGTTCTGGAGAAGATTATGTTTAAAAATGTCAAACTGTTAATTGGAAATGTCAGATTTAGCCTGAGCAAACTTGGTTTTGTCGAGGCTCAAAATGTAAACAGTGACACTCGTAACACTCCACACTTTGGAATAAAATCACAAAGTACTATACTCCATATCTCAGGATATTAGGTATAAGGAAAACTTGTTATTCTGACGCGGCGATATAAAAAGTCTCCTCATGATAGGAACCGCTATCGTGTAAGAAGGGTTTTGACAACATTGTCACATTTGCGAGCTATAATTTTTCTGAGATTTCTTGGCGAGAAAAAGTTGTTAAAAGATGGAAGTTGACCCAGGACCTGGCAACCGCGCTAAGGTGCTTACAACGAATAATAGGCCCACTGATTAGCGCTACCCAAGCGTTGCAGGCGATATTTCCTGTAAATGTCTAGGTACAATAGTAGACAGCCTGCACTCATCAAAGTTCTTTTTTGAAATTGTTTGGGCATGAGGAATATACCCAAAAAACAGGGAATTCATCAATCTCTTTTGGATGAAGGTATAGATGTGGCCTTGCTGCAGAAAACGTTGCTTAATCCGGGAGATTGTTTAGCTCTCCCGAATTATGACGTTATCCGAGGTGTCAGATTGAATAGTCGAGGTGGCAGTTTAGCAGTGTTGATTAAGCGCGGTATAGACTTTTAATGCGGAGATGCATAGCATCGAAGCAGCTTCTGTGGTGGTCAATATGGCGGGAGGTGTCTCGTTGAAGTTCACATCGGTGTATGTCAGGTGTTGTGCCAGGCTACAACAGGCGGATCTGGAGGTCGTTTTGGACTACTCGGGTCCGCTTATTGGGGCAGGGGACTTCAACTGCAAACATCGAGAATGGAATTCTAGGTTGAACTGCACTAGTGGGATTCGATAGTACAACCATGTGTTGCGAAATGGGTACCTTATAGATAGCACTGAAGAGCCGACACACCATCCATTGAACCATCTCCAGGCACCAGATGTCATCGACTTCGCGTTATCTAAAAACTGTAGATGCAGTATGTCTTTTCGAATCTTGTATGATATCTCTAGTGACCTGTTGCCTTGGATGTGAACAATGAGCAAACCTCTAAGGAGGAAGCACCTCCAAGAAAACGCATTGATTGGAACCTATACAAGTTGCTCCTTAGAGTGTTTCCCAATATCCCGATTATAGATGGAATAGATACCGCTCAAGCGGAGTGGACAAGTTTTATTCGAGCAGCTCCACAGCGTGCAGCTGTACTTCCTATACAATGACACAGCAGACCTTTTTTGCCTGCGGACATTCGTCAGAAAATCTCTGACAAAGGAGCCGCTATTAAGCAGGCCAAAAGGTCTTGTCATCCTGCTGATATTAGTAGGGCTACTCAGAAACGGAAAGCGAGAATATGTCCCGCACATCCACGGTCCTGAAGGCATAGTCTTCAGAACGGAGGATAAGGTCAAGGTTTTCGCTGATGCCATGGAAAAACAATTCTCTCCCAACTATGATCTTGATAATGACCTTGACGAGGAACAGCACATCGTACGATCCGTCAGGAGATATTTTAGGGAAAACGGCGTTAGCGGAGGCACTGAATCCTCTTCAGATGACTCTTCTGCATATGACTCTTCTTCAGAAGATTCGTCTGAGGCTCCACGTAGCACATTAGCGGAATCCTCCGAGGTTCCACATTGCACACCAGCGGAGCTCCTAAGTCATATTAAATAGCTCAGGGTACGTACAGCACCTGGGGAGGATCAAATCACCAACAAGGCGTTGACACCGCTCTCGCCGAAAGCCCTGACATATTTGGTGACAATAATCAATGCGACGCTCAGAATCCAGTACTTCCCCGCTGGGTGGATGACTGCTGAGGTCATCATGATTCCAAAGAAGGTGGGTTCGATATTTCCTCAGGATTACCGTCCCATAAGTCTGCCTTCAGCTCCTTCTAAGCTCGCCGAACAGGTGATTTATCGTCACCTTGAGAATTTTTCGTCAAATCACCATGTGATTCCTGGCGTTCAATTCGGTTTTCGGTCCGAGCATAGCACCGAGCTACAGGCAGTCAGGCTGGTGGACATGTAACCACAAGGTTCACCCTCAGCATGAGTACTAGCATCTTGCTTTTGGATGTCTCAAAAGCCTTCGACAAGGTGTGGCACGCGGGCCTCCTCTATAAGCTAATCCAAAAGGATTTTCCTTTTTGACTTCTAATGTTACTGAAATCCATTCTTGAAGGAAGGAAGTTTCGGATCAAAGTTAACAATGTCTTGTCAACAACACGGTCAGTAGGGGCCGGTGTTTCTCAAGGTTCGGTCCTAAGGCTAATCCTTTCGTGTACTGGTGATCTGGTTCACGATGGGTTGCAGAATGCGGTGGACGAAGTACTAGAGTGGGCGGAACGGTGGCTGATAAAAATTAATCATTCGAAAACTCAGGCTATTTATTGTACCAAAAAACGTCACGACCTCCAGCAGAGGTTTCTGTTGACGGAAATTGTGTACCATGGACAAATTCCGCCAAGTATCTCGGTGTCACCCTTGATAAAGGCATGACCTGGCAGAAACATACAGCATCCATAAAAACAAAGTTCCAAATTGCGTTTCGGCAACTGTATCCTTTGTTATGTAGAACCTCCAAATTGAGCTTGATAAACAAAGTTCGACTATATAAAATGATTATTAGACCAGCCATTACTTATGGATGTGCGGCTTGGTATTTTCTTGCCAAGACACATATGCAAAGTCTTCAAGTACTGCAGAGCAGAACTTTGCGGACAATTTGCAGTGCTCCATGGTATGTCTCAAATAGACACTACACAGAGACCTTGACATTCCTTACTTCAGGGATTATGTCAAGCTTCAGGCACAGCGACATTATCGGAATCACACAGCAACCCTCTGTTGCGTGACTCAGTGGACTACACAGTGGAGCAAGTTCGTAAACATTCAAGGTCGCGGCTCGCACTGTAATCAAGTTAGCACGAATTTATAGTAAAGTCAAAATTAGACAAAACCGAATTAAAAATTTGTTTAGTTCACCTCAAAATTAATCTGTGTACCAAGTCAAAGGGCCTAGGTGTTTCCTCTTTATCTAAGCACATCTGATTTCTTTGCTCTTCTCGTTTTTTCTTCTCTTTCCCTTTCTCTTTTTCCTTGACTTTGTCTGGTTTCTGGGCAACCAGGACTGACAGATTCGATGAACGTACATTAGACACTGACTAATGGGCAAAGGTCCTACGAACCGCCCAGTCAAACAAATGACGAATAGTAGTCTCCTCATATAGATTGCTTTCTTACATGTTAGTATGAGCTTTGATGTCTCATTCGCGTGTGCCAAAACTCTTTCAATATATTTCCATGATATGTAAGCTGAACTATCATACAGGGACAAGTTTAGAACCCTCCGTATCATAACAAAACCTTTCTGGCAGCTTGTTTATATTCTAAAACTCGCTATATGTGCCTCAAATAGAATAATGTAACAAATATTCTTTGATGAATCATGCAAGGACAGTTTTCCGACTCACATTCTTATGATAACTTTTCCGTGTGAATTTATTGACACTAATACCAATTCATCGAATAGATTGTTGTTTATCATTAGCAGCGTCACTGTCAATTAACTCGCTGTAGTTCCCCTTACAATGTTTGAATCATATCTCGTCTACAAACAATATCATTAACCCACTCGACGTTCGACACTGATGCACATGAAAACATAAGTGACCTATATCAACATGGCAGGAAACCTGGAACGGTATGGTCCCAAAAACTACATTGGAAATAACCTGGTGGTGAACATGGACCACAATATGGAAAGCTTAGTTATCGCAGGTAACAACTGCAACATCTTGGTGAAAAGAAATAATGGCAAATTGAAGATTATAGGCGACTGTTGTAAAGTTTCTGTCAACGACGGTGATGGCACTATCAGATATGTTGGAAATGGAGGTGAAATTTCAATTGGAATGGGGGTCTCCAAGGATCTGGTGACTTATACAGGGAAATATGGAAGCATCATCGAATCGGATCTAGTTGAACCTGCACAAAACTTAGTTCCAATTAAGAAGAACGCTGGGTATCGTGCTAGGAGCAGGTGTCAGATTATTGACATTAGCCACGGTGTAGTGATTAGACATGTCTTGTGAAATAATATAGTGAAGGTATTGTAGCACTTACTTTGCTGTATGTTAGTTCAATATATCTGAAGATAGTATATGTTGAATATTATTGCTTTGATCGTGAAACGTCTGTTTGAGGTGGATTTTATAATATACCATCATCTGTGAACAAAATTTCGGCAATATGGCTACATAAAATTGCAATTTTAATAACTGAAATACATTAATTAATTAGCATCAGCGAATAAAGACTGTTTTCCTCATATTTGAAGCCTATCCCTTATGGAATATGTGCAGTCACAATTTGACATTTACTTTTAATAGAAAAAATCCGGAATATCCACAATATTCCTTTTAAAGACAAAATATTTATTTTACTCCGATACAAAAAATTTGAAATTGTTTCCTCAGTGTAACGGTGATATCGTCTCGTCTCCAGATACACATACCATATAAGGCTGTGTTTTTGGATATATTTTAGTTTCAAATAATTGGATTCCTATCACGCGTTTGCTTTTCCACAAACTGGCAAATTACGAATATCACCCATGCTTAGATTTCATCACATGTTAGCATTGGTTAGCGTATTCTACGTGAAGATAGCAAGCCATATACTGTGTTCCAGCATCCAAAAAAGGATCGGAAAGATACTAGCGCCGTATATGGGACAGCAGAAGAACACAAAAATTTATTTAGAAATCGTCATTGAAAACAGTTGGAGTGTCTAATTCCACTACTGTCTTATAGATAGCGCCAGGACCTTCGTTCCTTATTTGGCGCTTATTTAATGTCTAAATCGGTATCTTAACGTGGAATACGTTGATCAATGCCTGAAGAAAGCCAATTAAAATGGGCGTTAGAGAGGCGCCAAAAAGGGATTAAAGGTTCTAGCACCATCTATGAGACAGTAACTGAAATAAACACTCTAATCTTTCCAAAACCGTATGTGTGTTCTGTTATTGTCTCATATAAGGCGCTGGTATATTTTAGGACCCTTTTAAGGCACCGAAATACAATATCTGGCTTAAGGTAGAATACGTTAATCAATGGTTTCAGTGAAACATTCCAGGTGTTTCAAATTAGACTCTCACCATAGGGATCTCGGAAACGGTAAGCGATACAAAGTGGGTTAGGTAAGGGACAAACTGCGCATTCCGTTAACTGAGAAAATGGCACTCAGAGTATTTCGCATGTCCAAGTGTCTCCGGGGATAGACGAAAGAACTCAAATTTTCTCAAAATCGATATTATATTTTCCTGGCATTATTTGAGATGGGATTTCAAAATAAAAGCAACATTAAAATTGTAACTTTTTCTCCCCAAAAGTTGGTAAAATTGAAATTTCAATATAACGCTTCGTCTCTTGTCTTCAATCATCAACTTAATTTTTTTAAAAGACCCCATATCGTGTCTATGCATAGGTAAATACATTGACATTGGCAAACCTTAGTCATTTGAATGAATCAGGATTTCCTAGGTAGGCCTTGAAACTGTCAGAGAGTCATTTGTTTCATAATATCGTCAGCCAAGCATTCCTTAAGTTTTTATGATCTAACCATATGTCAACAGCCATGTTCCCTATTTTTATCTCCATATATAATCTGGTAATCAAGCCGGCCATGATACAGGTCCTGATCGGCCTATCCACTGGTCTGAATGAACTCTATTTAGGTGCTCTCTAACTATACTAAGTGACATATAAATCCGAACACCCAGTTTAAATGGTTTTATTTTAATAAAATTTTGTATAAGTACTTAATGAAGCATAATAAGTAAATGATAAAAATTTCAAAATGATTGCACTGCTTTAAAGCCCTTTGACCTTTAATAATGTGTGGATGCACCCTGATGTGCTACGCATTCTCCAACGCGCCTCGGCATGCTTCTGATCAGGTGGTCAATGTCCTCCTGTGGTATCTCATTCCAGGCAACCACCAACTCCTCTCGAAGTGCTTCTAGAGTCTGAGGAGGACGTTGCAAATTGAGCAATCTCCTACCCATCATATTCCACACGTGCTCAATTGGGGATAAGTCGGGAGATCTTGGTGGCCATGGTAACAATGTGACATCATTATGTTGAAAGAAGTCTATTGTGACTCTTGCAACATGTGGTCGGACATTATCTTGTTGGAAAGTTGGATCTGCCAGGGTGTCAAGATAGGGTAAAAGATGGGGTTCTAGAACTTCGTGGATATAACGCTGCGCGTTCATGTTACCTCTGATGAAGATTAAAGGTGACCTGGAACCATAAGCTATAGCACCCCAAACCATAACTCCAACGTGTGGATTCCTCCTTTCACCACGTCGCCTTCTAACCCTAACACGACCATCGTGCATGCCTAAACAAAATCGAGACTCGTCACTAAAGACTGTTCCATTCCTGATCCCAGAGTGACCGTTGTCTGCACCACTCAAGGCGATTACGTCGGTGTTCTCGAGTTAAAGGGAGGACCCAGTGTGGCCGGTATGAAAACAAGCCAAAACTTCTCATTCGTCGGTAAACACTTCGCATGCCAATAGGTCTTCCGTGTTCTGCAAACCATTCATTTGCAATGGACCTGGTAGTGGAGAAACGGTCCCTTAAGGCCAATAATCTTAGGCGGCGATCTTCACGGTCTTTTGTTCTACGGCGGCGTCCAGTGCCCCTTGCTCTTTGCGTACGGCCTTCTTGAAGCCATGCGTGACAACACCTAACCACAGTGTCTACACTTCTTTGCACTCTAACTGCAATTGCCCGAAAAGAAAGTCCAGCTTCCCGAAGTCCCACTATACGGCCCCTATCAAACTCACTAAGTTGGCGAAATCGGGGTCTCCGTACTCTAGGCATCGTAACCGATCGTAAAGGATGTCAAGAACCAAAATCCGCCAACGTTGGTTCTTTACTGCGGCTGAAATATTCATTTTTAGAGCGTTAGTGAATGATAAAAAAATCCGGATAAGAACCGGAATGTCCAACTAAGGCTGAAAAATTTTTCACTTGTTATTTACAGTAAGATAAATACATTCACCAACTTTTATTAAAATAAAACCATTTAAACTGGGCGTTCGGATTTATATGTCATTTATTATAGTTGATCATCGAATAAGAGCAACCTAAAAGAACTTTTTCATTTGACTCAAGAGTCGTATTGAAATCATTAAAAACAACTAAAATTATCAACGCCCGTAATGAAACAATTAGAGAAATGGCCAGTTTCACATTTTTCAACATCCTTTATTTTTTGTTTACATCTCAAATTGACAATAGGGCAAACGGAGAAATTCCGAACACTCCAAAAATATACGGAACATTTAAAAACCGGAAGACTCGATTCCTGTATTCAACGTATTATATAGAATAAGATTTATGAATTAAGATTTCATCATTTGATGGTCCGTTAAATGAAATATTTGTCATAAGTATGTCCCAATACAAAATTAAATCGAAAGCTAAGCGCATTATCATCGCCCAAACAGTTGGCGGCGAGTTTATATTTATATTTATCAGCTTAACATCAAATCAATATCCACTAAATCAGATCTTCCAAACTGCTGAACTTTCGTTCAGATCTCTGTTGAAGCACAGCATATACAATGCTACACAGCAACGACCCTCATCGCGATATGAGGGGTTCGCGCCAATCTTTGATAATTTTGCTACGTAAGTCAATCTAAATGAAATAATACACATTTTGGTACCGACCAAGACAGTTGATTGCAAAATCGACCACGATAAAAACACGTATAAAGACTTGCCTATTACCTTCTTCGGGAATCAACTAGTAAGTGTATACATTTGTACTTCTCTCCTTCTTGTGGTTGAGACGTGATACTGATAGTCTGGACGGACGATCTCATTTACATAGAGATAAGGAGACAATATCATTTATACAGAGAGAAGAAGGCACCAGAGATACAGAATTAGAGTTTGCTAGATACACAGCCTGTCAAAAGTCATGTTCTAGCAACGTGAGCTTGAGTTACATGCCTTTGGTGCAAATCATAAATTTCTTCCTCCTGGGAAAAATTAATCCGGAATCGGGTAGGGAACGCGATGAATCGTTGGTGAAACGAATATCAAAGGGACCGACAGTAGCTATCTCAGCTGTATAATATGTGTCACAGTATTATACTTGGAGTAAACCAAAACACCAAGCAATTCTAAATCAAGACTATCAGGCTTAAAGGTATTAAAGGTACCCTATGGGCTATTCCAGACTATAATCTATCTTTGCCCTAAATTTCATTCTCATCCGTTCAGCCACTTTGGCGTGATTGATTAACAAACATCCACACCTTCTCGTTAAGAATATGAGCAGGGATAAATTTCACTAATGAATTAATTCATGTTAATAATAAGCTAATAACCAGTTATTTTTACTAATACGTAACCATACCTACCAATCGTATGTTTTTGAGGAGTAATGTTTTTATGTAGCCACTTCGGCATATCACGTATTATGATTTAATAATAATGAATGAACACAGATAGCAGAAACTAACCCACTTTTTTAATCAAAATAACTCATCTTAATGTTTGTACAGTTTGACATGATGAGAATTAGCCAAATGTTATCTGTAAGTCAGTTTCAGCATTTAGAGAAGGAAGTTTCATACAAATAGGCAAAACCACATAAGGATTCCAGTTCCAAGGTATCAAGACTTAGATCTGAATGTTTGTCTTTAGTTACTATCGTCCAGACGATTTGAACTTGAGATCAATGATTTTGAGTTCAAATCATTTTGAAATGCAGTCAGTCTCATGCCTGTTGCAGCAATGACTTTCACAAAGATCTGCGTAACATAAGTTGTAGACTGTTGGATATCAGTTTCCGTGCAAGTTGAAGTTGGATTGTAAGATATCTTTTTCTGAAAGAATAGGGAAATGCGACTTAAGTAAACGTGAATAACCTTTTCATGTTTCTTTTCGGTAGGGTTCAAAGATATGTAGAGTCACCACAGCTGCCTTGCGAGCTTCCGGTAACTCGCGATCCACAGGTTGGCGACTACTGAAGTAGAACAACCGACAGCTCTATTTCACTTATGCTTATGCATCAGCGAGGCGACTTGTGTGGC